TGGACTAGAAAATTATAGCAATGACCGCAAAAAATTCTGAAAAAGGTATCGAGACCGTAAAATGGCTAAGAAAACCGCCTGTGACTTTTGGAATGCAATTCGAGACAATTTTGAAAGAGGTCACATTTTGGTTATACCTATCTGATTTTTAAAAAAATTCATTGCCAAGGCAACTCGAAAGAAGGAAGCTTGGAAATTGGAAGAATTTCTTCCCATGAGTGCTAAATTTAACGTCGATAGCTAGATGAACCAAGATTTCGCATTAGTCCTCGTAAATTGGGTCCGTTAAGAGGACTTTCTCTACTTTGCGAATTGGGACTTTGCCATCAACATAAGGCTTAAGCCTTTGGCCATTAACCTTAAATAGAGATCCATCGGTAGGATCTTGGAGTTCAATTGCACCATGAGGAAAGACGGAAGTGATGACATATAGACCATCCCATCGTGAACAGAGTTTACCGGGAAAGAGTCTCAATCTAGAATTGAAAAGCTAAACTTTCTGTCCAGGAGCAAAAGACTTGTTGACAATGTGCTTTTCATGAAATGCTTTAGTCTTTGCCTTATAGATTTTGGCGTTTTCATAAGCATCATTGCGAATTTCCTCAAGCTCATTGAGCTACAATTTGCGATTAGAACCGGCTTGTTGAAGATCAAAGTCGAACCTTTTTATGGCCCAAAATGCACGGTGCTCTAATTTGACTGGGAGATGACAAGCTTTGCTAAAGACAAGTCATAAAATAAAATAAAAATTAAATAAATAAATAAATAAAAATAAATAAATAAATAAACCATTAAAGTAAAATAAAAACCCAATTAATAAGTTCAAATAATTCAAATAAGTCAAATAAGTCAAAGAAACAACTAAAGAATTAAAAATTCAATTAAAACAATAAATTAAATACCAGGACTATCCTTTTGAAATTAGGGGTATTACAAGAAGGTTTAACGTTGTCCTCCAAATGAATACGGTGCATACAAATAGAAGGGTCGATTCCTTTAAAATCAGCCACAGCCCAACTAATAGCTTCTTTGTACTCTTGTAGCACCGCTAAAAGGCTATTTTCTTGATCCGTTAAAAGGTTCGAAGCAATGATGACCAGAAGAGTTTGACTTGCACCAAGAAACACATATTTGAGGTAGGCCGGGAGCGGTTTTAACTCAAGTTATGGTGGAGATTTCAAAGAAAGGACTGGAGGAGTTATGGAAAGTTGAGGAAGTGGCTCTCTTGGCACCTTCCAAGAAGGACAATTCATGATAGCATTGATGTCAAGCAAAGAATTTACTTCTTGGATGGATTGGTCAATATCAAAGTTTGAGAAGTCAAAGTGTGACATGCAAGTTTTCAAAGGATCTTTGCTTAGAATAAAGGGAAGAGATTCTTCGACCACTTCATCTATCACATCGATGAGGAAACAATCATCCTCTTCGGAAGGATGTAGAGTTGCATGGAAAATGTGGAGTTTGACTTGCATATTTCCAAAGGCGATGTCCATCACCCCTGTTCGGCAATTAATTGAAGCGTTAGCCGTAGCTAAGAAAGGCCGACCAAGGATCACAGGGATATGTTTCTTTGGGTCATGGACCGGTTCCGTGTCAAGAACCACAAAGTCTATCGGGAAGTAGAATTTGTCCACTTTGATGATCATATCTTCAAGAATGCCCTGTGGATGCTTGACTGATCTGTAAGCAAGCTGCAGGACCACGGAGGTTCGCTTAAGATCTCCCAAGCCAAGTTGTAAGTAAACTGAATATGGAATCAAGTTCACACTCGCACCTAAGTCAAGGAAGGCCCTTTTTATTTTATTGTCACCAATGACACACGAGATTGTTGGGGCACCAGGATCCTTATACTTTGGAGTAGTACTGTGTTGAATGATTGCATTCACATTTTTAGTTAATCTTACCTTCTTTGCAAATGATTTTTTAAAGTGTGCTTTTGAGTGCACAAATCCTTGAGAAATTTGCATAGGGAAGGATTTGCTTTATAGTATCCAAGAGAGGCAAGCTGATTTTTACTTGCTTAAAAACTTCCCACACATCTTGAATTTTACAATTTTTGTTCCCAAAATGTGTCGACTCTTGGAGACGTTGAGGAAACCGAGCCTTAGGCTCATAAGACGTCTCCACATTTGGGTTGACAAGCTTGAAATTTTCAACATTAGACTTTAGATTTTCAAGAGTGAGATTTGGATTAGAAGAGCAGAGATTTGGATTTTTGGAAGGAATGATTGTTCCATCTTTTCCTCCATCAACCTTGTTTTCCATAATTCGACCACTCCTAAGGGTGGTGATTGCTTGGACTTGTTCATGAGTAGGCCCGCTCGGAGGAGGGGCTTCGTTAATCATATACATCCCTCTAAGATTCTCAAATAGTTGAACGGGAAGCTTTCCCTTATCTCTTTAAAGAAGTTGGTTCATTGAAGTAGCTATTTGTCCGACTTGATTTTCAAGCTTAGCTATGGACTGAGTATGAGAATAAACCATTTAGAGAGTAGGCTATAATAATGTCAAGAGTTGCTTATTAGATTCCATTATTTGTTTGTTTAGAGATTCCATCATTTGCTTATTTGCAGCAAGAATTTCATCCGTTGGGAACACAGGAGATGGAGTAGAGACATTTGGATTATACGGAGGACGGTAACTTGAAGAGGCTTGAAATTGCCTATTTTGAAATTAAGAAAAAGGCTGATTTTGATGCCCTTGATTTTGGAATTACGAATTTTGTAGGGCTTGTTGTCGCCACGAAAAATTTGGATGATCTTTCCATCTCGGATTATAAGTATTGGAGTAAGGATTGTTTCCGGGCCTAGAAAATATCGTATCACTTGCTCTTGATTGGGACTAGGAAATTGCTCCAGCGTGGGGCAATCTTCCGAGAGGTGGAAAGGACTAGTGCATGATACACACACCGCACTAGTTGAATTTTGAGACAAGGAAGGAGAGAGATGTGGTGCCATCAATTGATAGAATTTATGAGCTATGGCATCCACTTGAGAAGACTCTTCCCTCATTATCTTTGGTTGAGATGGGTCGGTGTTATTTGTGTTGGTTGAGGTTAGAGCACCACGAGAATTATGTTGCAATGAGTTTTCACTCAAATTCTGAAGTAAGGTTCATGCCTCATCCGCACTTTTAGACATGAACATCCCTCCATATGATGAGTCAACCATGAATCTATGGGTGTCGGTTAAACCAGCATAGAAAGCTTGCACCAATTGCCATTTTGGAATTAGGTGGTGAGGACATTTCCTAAGGAGGTCTTGAAGTCTTTCCCAAGTCTCATGGAGTTGTTCCCCCTCGCTTTGTGAAAAGCTAAGAATGGAACGCCTCATTAGGTTGGTTTTACTCACTGAATAGTACTTTTTTAAGAATTCTTGTTGCAATTTAGCCCATGTAGTAATGGAATTTGCAGAAGGGAGTTCAACCAATATTTTGCCCTATCTTTTAAGGCAAATGGGAAGAGATACAAATGGAGAGCATTTTCAGGGAAGCCCCTAAGCTTGATGGTAGAACATATTTCAAGGAATTCATCAAAGTGCTTGTAGGGGTCTTCATTTTCAAAGTCATGAAAAGATGGGAGCATTTGAATGGTGCTAGATTTGATCTCATATTGAGCTGCCTCAATGTTTGGCATCACTATGTAAGAAAGAGAGGCATAGGTTGTAGGGATAAAATGGTCCCTAAGAGTCATAGGTGCAACATTTGGAATTTCAGCCATGTCATTATTAATTCCCTCATTTCCGACATTTCCCTCATTTTCAGCCATTGTATTAAATTCGAGTTCGATTCCTCTTATATTTGCAGATTCCCTAAGGTTTCTTCTAAGAGTCCTTTCAAGCGAATTTATGTCAATAGGGGATTCAAGAGTTGGTAAGGATAATGACCGACAACCAAACATCAACAACTCACTACACAATCAACACAACAACAATTCATTACCATAACTTCCACATACAATGTTCCATTTCTCCTCAATTATTAATAAGACAGAAAATAAATAGCCACGACAAGGACCGATGCTTTGCAATAAAAAGAAACAACAAATTGCCTCGACAAGGGCTTCAAAATTTGACTATCAATAATTTAACCACATGCAGAATATTCATGACTTTGAAACTAGAACTTCGAAAACTTACCGGGAGTCCTTTAGACTTATAAATTTGCTAGCTTTCCCTCAGCAAGCCTTGAGTACCTAGAATCAACCTTAGAATACTTGAAACACAAATTAGTTGAAACCAACAAGAAAATATCCACAAGATCACAATATTCATAACCAAACCAAAGTTAATCCTAAAACCTCGGTTACAAAATTATTTGCAATCTCCGGCAACGGCGCCAAAAATTGATCGGTAAATATTCGATCTATAATAAATCAACCATTGGCAATAACACAAATCATTGTAAAATAGGGCTATTAGAAGGGTAAGTCGACCACTGGGACTGCTAGTTTATGGCAAACAAGGTCTTTAAATTCACTTTTAGTTTGATAAAAGGTGTATAGAGTTTTGATTGGTTTGTCACTTAGTAACTAGAATTGAAATGCACATAAAACAATAAATGCAAGGAATTCAAGAGAAAGAAATCTAGAAAGAGAGGTCTAGGGAAATGAATCCACTACATACCCTATTAACATGCTAGTTGATATTAACTTGGGGAAACAATATATATATGTAATCATGGAATGCAACGATACAAAATTGTTACATTACTTTCAAGAAGTTCATGAAATCGATAAGCAGGAATGACCTATCAAAGGTTTACATGCTTTAACTACCTAAACTAGGGTGTAGCCTTAGACATGCTCACTAAGCTAGAGATTATCAAGCCTTCAATTAAATGATAAGAGCACATGAGGTTAAAAATCAAGATTAATCCATTAAAGGGAAATCCTAAGCCATAGACTAACAAGGTTCTCATACAACATGCCATTAAAATCATTCCACAATCTCATTTTCATTGTCACTATGAAAAATCAAGCAATACAATCATGAAAACATATATTCTAAGACAAGATAATAGATTCAACATGATCATTTATATCAAATTCAGTTCATTACATCAAGTGTAAGCTCTGGATTATGGAGCAATCACATATATACATCATTTTCCCCAAAATAAACCAAGACTAGAACATGCTTACTAGAAAGGGCTTCATCACCTCCCTAGATAGGGAGTTAGTTACCCATAGGAGCAATGGATAAAGGAGAGTTGATCATTATCTCCACCATTTTCGCCCTTTGAGATCAAGAACGCACAACCCCTCACCTTACAATATTTCTCTCTTTAGAAGTTTGCTAACCCTCTCCTAAGACTCCAAACCCCCCCTTTTAGCCAGAGAAAAAATCATTTTTCCTTTATTTTCGGGGCTACCCACCCCTAGGAGGAATCAGGACCACAAAAATGGGTCAAGGGGATAGCCTTGAACCAAACAATGCAGAGTTGTCTGCAAATTGGCGGGCGCTCGTAGGCGCAGGGCAGGCGCCCGTGAGGGCTTGGAGGGCGCCTGCGATGCTTGATGGCAGGGGCCCACACTGGCTATATGCTATTGGAGACTTTGGCGGGCGCTCGCAGATTTCTTGCGAGCGCCCGTAACTTCTTGGGTCTGCTCTGAAAATATATGCTCTTGAACCTCCTTTTGCACGGACTGCTGATGCTACTCTTCTTCCTTGGGCTTTGTGCATCAAGCGTTACGAGTTCCGTGGATTACTTGACTTGCCAAAATGACAGTCCCCGGCAACGGCGTACTTTGATCTTCAAAAACTTATCAAAGCGTCACTTTTACCTCTCTTAGGGGAACCAACCTGAAAATAGACAAAAGAATACAATTTAGTCTAATATATTCAGTATAGACAACTAATGGACTTAACTAATGCAAATAAGGGTGTTTGAATATGCATTATTCGGTGCTTATCATTTAGTTGTAGATTTTATTTCAGAAGTTTACCTTTCAGTTTGGGATTTTAATAGGGATCCACTATATGAATTCCCGAGTTGTTTAACAATATTGGAAGTTTTAGATTATTGGATTTTACCCATTCAATATTAAGGATTATATTTATTTAGATTTCTTTCAGCTTTTATTATTTTTATTTTTTTCTTAATTCTTTTGTATTATGTGTTTGTTAAATATTAATTGTTTGATATTCCCATGGGTTTGGGCTTGGGCTTGATCAACCCATGTCTCGGAGTCGAGGGGTGTCACAGTTGGTATCAAAGCACTCTAGGTTCAAGTGTCTCTAGGATTCTATTGTATAAGACTTCCGCGTAGCGTTTTCTCTTGTTTAGAGCTTAGGTTTATGATTCATTGTATTTCTTTACGGTTCACTTAGAACGTACTGATGTCAATCTTATTCTGTAATTGCAGAATGTTTGGCACTAGGAAAAGGATGTGGTCCGCAATAAAAGCAAAGAAGGACCCAAGGAAAAGGAAGGTTACTCCTACGATTCCCCTACGAAGGCCAACCAAAAAGGTAGAATTGGAGACCAAGGAATTGGTTCCAATAGGTGTTGCTTCGGAGTATAAGTCAAGGAAGGTTTCTGGTGTGCAAGATTGGCCAACATACTATGAACCTAACACAACTTCGGTGGTGCTCGAAGCTGAACCAAGCGGAGAGGAAGACCCCGAAGAAGATCAGGATGGAGGAGATACCGAAGCATCCAAGATGGAGGGCATCGGAGTTCAATGATGACTGCTCTTTTAAGAGTACTTTTAATGACTAGTAGTAGATGAGGTATTAGTAAAGTGTAGTACGGATTTAATCATGTACACTAGGATTATATTAAAGAATATTTACGATTATTCATTTGACAGTTTATGGTTTGGAAAAGTTCTTAATAAAATGAACTAGCGGTTTTGGCTATCTTCATTGTGTTTTGTGATAGCATTTTTGTGATATATACACATGTAGTTTTATCAGACTATATTAGGCTGTGTATGTTGTGATAATTGATGATTGATCACAGTGAGGTGATTGGTTTTTGAACAGGCAAACAAATAATTGCTTATAAGTACATGGTGTTGAGACAGGATGATTACCAAGGAGTTTATAAGAGAACTTGTGTAAATCAATATGATAGGTTTGGTTTGGAAGGAGGACGTCCCAGGATAGAATGATAATCTAAAAATGGGAAGATTGCAGAGCATTTCGTCTTACCTTATGTGTTTTGCTTTACGGAGTATTCAGAAACAGGGGATTTTCATGGATTGGTTGGTGACACACATATGCAATAGACCTCAGGATATTTCTATACCATTGGGCAATACTGCCATATTATATGAGAGTGATAGGCCTATGACACTAGATATTGGTAAACTCAGATTTTTAGCCAATCTATTGGTCCTGGACATGCACACTTATGATGTGATACTTGGGATGGATTGGTTATCTCACTACCATGCCCAAGTTAATTGTTTTGATAGGTTTATTATGTTCACCATACCTGGTTAGGATATGTACGTCGTTGCTATGCCATGTGTTAATGGGGGCAGTAGCACTTATTTGTTTCATGTGGATGAGGAAACGGAGGAGGAAACGGAGGAGGAGGTTATTGTGTCGTTGGATCGTATACCAATTATACAAGACTTTTCGGATGTTTTTCAGGAGATTCCAGGGTTGCCACCTAGTCGAGAGATCGACTTTGTGATTGACTTAGCTCCAAGCACTATGCCTATTGCTGGAGCACCATACAGGATGGCACCAGTAGAGATGAGAGAATTGAGGGATCAGATTCAACAATTACTTAGCTAGGGTTTTGTTCGTAGAAGTACGTCACCCTACAGAGCACCATTACTATTTGTGAAGAAGAAGGATGGTCCACTTCACTTGTGTATAGATTACAGGGAGTTAAACAAAGTTACTATTCGTAACAAATATCATCTGCCCAGAATTGATGATCTTTTTGATCTGTTGAAGGGAGCTACGTACTTCTCTAAGATTGATCTGCGTTCTGGATATCATCAACTTCGGGTTAAGGAGCAGGATGTTCCTAGGATAGCGTTTCTCACTAGATATGGATCTTATGAGTTTCGTGTCATGCCATTCGGACTGACTAATGCACCAGCAGTTTTCATGGACTTAATGAACAGAGTCTTCAGGGCTTATTTAGATCAGTTTGTCATTGTCTTCATTGATGACATTCTGGTTTATTCTAAGTCAGAGGACGATCATGCTCGACACCTTCGCGTAGTGTTGCAGACGCTTTGTGAACACCAGCTGTTTGCCAAATTTGAGAAATGTGAATTTTGGCAGCGGGAAGTGAAGTTTTTGGGTCACGTGGTGTCAGGAAGGGGAATAGCGGTAGATCCAGCCAAAATTTCAGTAGTGGTTGAGTGGGGACAACCTACTTCACCTACCGAAATTCGGAGTTTCCTCAGATTGGCAGGATATTATCGTAGGTTCATTCAGGGGTTCTCAAGGATTGCAGGACCCCTCACTCATTTGACTAAAAAGGGTGTATGATTCATGTGGGATGAGCACTATCAGAAAGCTTTTGATGAGCTAAAGACTAAGTTGACTTCTGCACCGGTTCTGTCCACTCCACAGAGCGGGATAGAGTATTATGATGACCCTATGGGCGGGTGTGCCGTGGGCGGATGCGAGACACTAACAGGCTACCATACTGGCGAGCTACGGGTGCACAATCCCACATTGCTTGGGTAAAGGAAAGGTGAAGTGCTTATATGTAGATGTGTCACTCCAATTGGTATGAGGCCTTTTGGGGTGAAGCCCAAGAACAAAACCATGCGGGCTCAGGCCCAAAGTGGACAATATCATACCATATGGTAGAGTGGGTCATTACAAATGGTATCAGAGCCTGACCCAACCGGAAGTGTTCCGACGAGAACTTCAGGCCTCCAAGGGGGGTGGGATTGTGACAACCCTGTGGGCAGGTGTGCCGTGGGCAGATGTAAGACACTGACTTGCTACCACATTGGTGAGCTATGGGTGCACAGTCCCACATCGCCTGGGTAAAGGAAAGGTGAAGTGCTTATATGTAGGTGTGTCACTCCAATTGGTACGAGGCATTTTGGGGTGAAGCCCAAGAGTAAAACCGCGTGGGCTCAGGCCCAAAGCGGACAATATCATACCATGTGTTGGAGTGGGTCGTTATAAGTATCTTGTCTGCACAGATGCTTCTTTGCAAGGTCTTGGATGTGTTTTGATGCAAGAGGAGCGACCAATTTTGTATGGGTCTCGTAAACTTAAGCCTCGTAAGCTTAACTATCCAACACATGATTTAGAATTAGCAGTTGTGGTCTTTGCCTTATGTATTTGGAGGCATTATCTATTGGGAGAGTCCTTCAGATTATTCAGTAATCACAAAAGTCTGCAGTATTTGTTCACTCAGCGGGAGCTAAATATGAGACAGCGCCGATGGTTGGAGTTTGTGAAAGATTATCACTTCTCTATACAGTACCATCCAGAGAAAACGAATGTGGTGGCGGATGTACTCAATTGCAAACCCAATGCTAGTTTTTCTGCTTTATTCACCATTGAATGGAATGTTTTGAAGACAGTGGATGAGTTATCGGATGCTTTTATGGCTTGCATAGTAGTTACACCTTCTATCATTCACAAGGTTTTGAAAGTACAACTCACGAATCAGCAGTGCATTGACAAAGTGGCAGAGATAGCTTCTGGGGAGGTTCCATTTTATTATGTTGGGACTAATGGAGGTTTGAGGTACAAGGGACGGTTAGTAGTACCTTCTGCTAATGATTTGAGGAAGGATGTGATGACTGAGACTCATCACTTTGAGTTTTCTGTTCATCCAGGAGAAAACAAGATGTATCAAGATATGAAGTGGCAGTTTTAGTGGGCATGTATGAAGAAAGACATTGCTATTTTTATCTCTCAATGTAGTACTTGTCAGATGGTTAAGATTGATCATCAGAGGCTGCCAGGAGCTCTACAGCCACTACCTATACCAAAGTGGAAATGGGAGAGCATTTTGATGGATTTTGTGGAAGGATTGCCTAATTCTTTCAAGGATCACAATTCCATTTGGGTCATTGTTGATAGATTGACTAAATCAACTTATTTATTGCTTATTTGCACAGACTTCACTTCGGAGTAATTGGCAAAACTTTACATTACAGAGATTATAAAGTTATATGGCATTCTGTTGTCTATTATATCAGACAGAGATTCGAGCTTTATGTCAGGATTTTGGAAGAGGTTTCAGCAGGCTTTGGGTATAGAGTTACATCTTAGTACTGTTTATCATCCTCAGACTGATGGACAGACTGAGAGGGTTAATCAGATCATGAAGGATATGTTGCGTTTGTGTGTTCTTGATTTTAAGGGCCACTGAGGATTATTTGCCAATTGTGGAGTTTGCATATAACAGTAGTTTCCAGAAAACTATTGGTATGGCACCATTTGAGGCATTGTACGGTCGACCGTGTTGATCGCCGGTGTGTTGAATGGAGGTTGGCGAGAGCAGATTCTTGGGTCTTGAGTTCATTAAGGATACTTCTGAGAAGATTGCTCTTATTAGGGATCGCATGCGCACTGCCCAGAGTAGGCAGAAGAGTTATGCCGATCATCGTACTCGTGCATTGGAGTTTCAGGTTGGGGATCAGGTTCTACTCAAAGTGTCACCTATGAAAGGTGTCATGCACTTTGGGAAGAAAGGGAAGTTATTGCCGTGGTTTGTTGGTCCATTCATGATTACGGATTGAGTTGGAGCTGTTGCTTATCGATTGGCACTTCCGGATCATTTGGACCGTGTGCACAATATGTTCCATGTTTCCATGTTGTGGAAATTTCTGAGAGATGAAGATCGGTATCAGCATATCGATGTTGGGGAGGTTGAGTTGCAGCCGGATGCAACGTATTTAGAGCCACCGTGTTGTATTGTCGACCGTCGGGATCAAATCCTTCATAATAAGGTTATCCTTTTAGTACGTGTTCAGTGGAATCACCACAATGAGGCTGAGTCTACTTGGGAACGGGAGGATGTCATTCTCTCGCAGTTTCCTGAAATAATGGAAGAAGGTAAGAGCGAATTCCGAGGATGGAATTCCTTTTGTTAGGGGGGAAGAATGTAATACCCCTAATTTGAAAAGGATAGTCTTGGCATTTTAATTATTGTTTTATTTCATTTTTGTTTGATTATTTGCATTTTTGCTAATTGTTTAAATTGTTTAATTGTTTATTTGTTTTAATTGTATATTTGATTTACTTATGTGTTTATTTGAAATACTTGTTTAATTGAATTATGTATTAGATAAGGTTAGTTGTTTTTCTTGTATTAAAATGGTTAGGAAATTAAATGTCTTAAATATTGTTGTGTTTTATGGTATTAGGTTGTAGTCATGGGCCTACCAATTGGGTTCTATGGACTACTTGGATAAGGAGTTTAATGGGTATGGATCATTACCCTATGAATATATATAGTTAAATAATATATATATTGAGGAAAAGTCCTTTGGAGATAATCTAGGGTATTTATTTTATTTAATAAAAATAATATACATAGATTTACGTAACTTATGTTTTTAGTTACCTTTTTATTATTTTTATTTTATTTTCTTTTTATTATTTGGATGTGGATTAAGAAAAAGAATAGGGTTTGGTTATAGCCTATTAATATGTCTCTATAGGGTTGGAAGAAGGGGCTAGATTATTATCACGTATATTTTAGAGAGAAAGAGAGAACGAGGAAGGAGGAAGAAGAAGAAAGAGGCTAGGGTTTTGTCAAATCCTACAGGCAAGTTCTCTGTTCTACACTTCTCCTTAGATCTGCGATCTATATGTTTCTAGTATAACTTAGGGATGTGTAAAAGATTAATTAAAATTGAGATATATGTTTTAGTGGATCTAGAACTAGGTTTTATAAAATTATTATTCATGATTGTTCTTGTGTATAAACTATTAAATTCATGAATTAATTTGATTAGTTTGTGAATTTGATATATGTTTTATATGATGTTTTGTTATATCTGTATATGTATGGAATGTAGAAACATGCCTAGGATTCCTGAAACAATTAACGATTTAATGCACAGTTAAAAATTCTGGGTCTTCACGTAACAGAGTCAGACCGATGTTACAGTGCTCGAGCACTTGGTTGTGAAGCTCGAGCATTGGGATGAAAAGCTCGAGCAATTGGTTGTGAAAGCTCGAGCAATTGGTAGTGATGCTTGAGTAATTGGTTGTGAAAGCTCGAGCAATTGGTTGTGATGCTCGAGCCTTGGACAAAATGCTCGAGCCTTACCTAGTAAAGTCTCGAAAATAGCGTTATATTAGTTGTATATTGGATTTGTTGGAGTCCTAAACATCGAATAAGGATTAGGGATGATTTAAATAACTTTTAAACAAAGTATGGAGAATGCTTAAGTGATTGTATAGAAAAAAATATATCAATCTGTTTAAGATTCTGTATGTGTAGGATATGTGACATAGGAAATTTAAATAAATTATAAGTTGTCCTATCTAGTTTAGCATAATATGATATTATTATTATGTTTAACCTTGGATGTTTTAGATGTACCTCTGAAATTGTTACATCAATGGTTGGATTGTGTGGATTTAGTGCACCAGTATGAGATGGTGGCACTATAGGGATGGATTAACTTATCAGTTAAGTCCTACCTATTTTATATAAGAATGGATTAACTCAAATGTTAAGTCCTACTTATAATTGTGTCAGGTCAACTAAATAAGTTGAATGACTAACTGGATTAATAGATACTTATACTTATGTCGTGTCAAGGCAATGAACAGTTGAAATGCACTACGTTGTGGTTTGGATGGAGTTTAATTATATAGGTATGGTACCTCGATATGAGCGTGAGTCTCAGGATCGATGGTTAGGGAGCGTATATGAATTGGGATGCATAGCTGGCTATGATGGTTAGAGGTGTACCCTGTTAGGTTTAGGTACACATGCCCACCTCGGGTGCGTTTTGCATGTTGCCTCTATTCAGGTTGAGACCGGCCTGTAGTCCAGTGAGAGTCCTTTAGTGTGGATATATATATATTTACGAATTATGTAGTTATTGCATAGGTTAGTTATAGATGTATAGATTTCCGATCTCTGTTTGGGTTGTCATAGAAAGAACTTGTTCGTGGGCCTGACCACTTTTATTTTTCAAGTAGCGGACAGTGACAGTCTTAGAGCTTGTTTGTGCTGAGCAGAGACGATCACTTATTCTTCCGACGATGCAGGATTTCTCTTCATAGTTTAGTTGTAGATTTTATTTCAGTAGTTTACCTTTCAGTTTGGGATTTTGATAGGGGTCCACTAGATGAATTCCCGAGTTGTTTAACAATATTGGAAGTTTTGGATTATTGGATTTTACTCGTTTAATATTAAGGATTATATTTATTTAGATTTCTTTCAGCCTTTATTATTTTTATTTCTTTCTTAATTCTTTTGTATTCTGTGTTTGTTAAATATTAATTGTTTGATATTCCCTCGGGTTTGGGCTTAGGCTTGATCAACCCATGTCTCGGAGTCGAGGGGTGTCATAGAAAAATATTCTAAAAAATGTAACTTGATCTGTGAATCCAACTCATATCCATATTTGTGGCAACTATAAGCAATGCGATTGAAGAAACTACAAGGGCAAACAGGTTATAGAGTACATGCTAATGTGATATTGATAATTCATCTATTTCAATGTTCTATTATTATTTTTAATTATCTCTATCTTTGATTCCAAATTATGTACAATGTTGCAAAATGAACAACATAACTAATGAAACAGGTAAAATCCAACTCTTATATAGACAGATCATGCACAAGACAAAATTCAAGTAATTTTCATAACAAAAAAGTTAATGTAATGGACATAGTTGATAAAGCTTTTAATGAAGGCAATATGTGTAGCAGGGTTACTAAATGGTTCCCTCATGAGCACATGTATTCAGTGTATTCTTTTAGCAGCAAGTTAGGAAACGTCATCATCCAGTGTTGGTTACATTGTGCTGCGGTGTTAGGAGAGCATGCACTCTTCATGTAATTCATATTACATTCTCAAAGAAGAAATTTCCACACTTCATAAATACTAATGGTGAAGTTATAAACATGGACTACATGGACACTCTTTATGTAGTTGAAACGAAAAACAGTTCTTCATGCATTCCAAGTGCTCCAGAAAGAAGTCTAATCGTCTCTAATACAGTGGCATATGCCAAAAGTTCATTATTCTTTGCAACTAGTTGACAGCTATGAGATGCAGTGGAAAACCACATGTTGCAATTGTGAACAATGCTAATGCTGGTCACAAAAAGGAAGAAGAAAGAATGATTTTTTTGCCACACAAGTCTATACAAAATTATATACAGCAAAAGTTTGTATATAAAGATTTCAGATGCAAAGCTAAACAAAACAATGAATCTACATAACATGTCAGCAATAGAGCATACTACCATACTACAGAAGGTGAAAATTGTAAAGGAAACACTATTAAATCGGATAGACTTAAATTAACCAAAATATATTTACAATTCCACTTTAACCCACCATTATTTTTCAATTTTTTGATTATTAATTTCTTATCAGTACATTTATATACATTAACGTGTATGTACATATGTTATATATATTAAAGACATAAGTTCATTATAGTATGCATTCTAAAGATGCTCCCACTCTTCTTCTTCTGCTCCCACTCTCCCTTTCGCACTTGCTCCTACTCCTGCTTTGTGACTTATATTTTTAAAGTGATATTTGTAGTTTTTGCTTGCAGTAATTTTCTCTGAATTGTTTTCACTGTATATATATTTTCCTAATACTGTTGGAAGTGTCCAGAATTACAATATTTTGTTGGTTGGATTTTCTATATAGAATTAAGTATTGTGCATTATATATATTAATTGAAACATTGAAACATTTTTTAACTGCTGAAAACCATATCTAGTATGTGGTTATGCTTGACGAGTTTTCCATTCATATGGTTCAAATACTGTTGCAAATTAGAAGATTGTGCTAATGCACTACTGTATTTACAAACATCAATGCCTAATTGAGTATGAAATCCAATAAAAACAAATTATGATAAAGAGTGAAAAACCTAGGGTTCGCAGTCTGATTTAGGAGAAATAGTGATGAGTGAAGAAGTGAGGAGCGAGAGTAGAGAGAGAAGATTGAGGAACGGGAGTGGATAGAGAAAGTGAGAAACAACATCAATCCTTAATTAATAATGAAATAATGAATTCAAACAAAAAAGGAGTTGTGAAATTTACCTGCAGTGGACAAAAATGGAGATAACGTCGATAATTGTTGGCCTGTTTTGGCAAATCAAATACGGATTTGGCTCCCAAATCAAACTCCAACCGGGACTGTGTTCGCAGTATAATTTTGGTAGATCAAGCTCTCCATTGAAGAACGAGGAGAGAGGAGAGACCAGTCTGAGTCGAGATAGAGAGAGAAATGAGTGGGTTAGAGCGAGAAAGCGAGGAGCGATGAGAGAGAAAGTGAGGAGCGATGAGAGAGGATTGGGGGTAGCGAGAGAAAGTGAGGAGTGATTGGAAATTGAAAAATGAAAAATGAAAAAAGAAAAATAAAAAATGAATAATTAAAATGAAAAATGTCGGCGGCATTTTTTTTTAACTTCCGGCGGCATTTTTTATAAAGTGTTTTTAAAAATGATTTTTTAACAGCATTTTTTAATGTTTGCTGCTAGACCCATATATCTTTTCTTGTAGTGCAATCACCCACAACACAGCTGCACAGGGCAATGAATGAGTCGAAGGAGCAGAAGAGGTGGTTCTCCAATGGATCAAAGAATGACCTTGGAAGGTTCCATTCCAGGTAGGCACAGACCTAGGACCAGTGGGGGCATCTCCTCACCGGATTTTTTATATTTTTATTTTAGATTTTAATTTTTTTAGAATTTATGAAGATACCTCTACTAAAATTACAATTTATCCTACTAATTTTTATTTTAATTTTTTTACATTTTATACTTTAAATTTTAAAAAATTTATGAAGAAAACTTTATTAAAATTACAAAAATAGACCAACTATATAAGTTTGCCCTACAAATTGAAAACTCACCCCCTCTCACAAATTTTCTAAGCACATCACTGATTACAGGTAATGAATCTTCTCTTTTTCAATTTTAGTTTCTAATTCAATGATAATGAGGAAATCATCCCAATTGTTAATATTTTGGTATTGAAGCTACATTTTACTTGCAAGTCGTTCCAAATACTAGATGGTTGTGAATATATTATTCTGGTTGTGATTTTCGGCTTCACTTAGACATCATAATACACAAACATTTGGTTGCATCCTATAATTAAGACTTGGTACTCCAGTCCTATCTTATAGAGTCTAGTACCCGATTTTGTGGTCTACATAGTAGCCAGTTGTCAAAGAAGAACATGGTGGGGTCTCTCCAATGTTCTGTTATGCAGCAACTCTCTCCAAAACTGATGGAGAAAGTTCAATAATAATATAGTTGTTGATCTTAAGGATTTCATCCAATGACAATCTAGGTGTTTTGATGATAACAAACCATTAATGGTATTTAAGGACTAATGTTTACATTGAGTGTTATATAGATTATTTACATTCAAAGATTGACCTCAATGAAGTACTAAAGATCATTCAAAGTATTCCATTATTCAAGATCACATTAAGAAAAAAAATAGATACAATGAAGACATGAAGTTGCAAGGAACCAAATGCAAAGTCCATCCAAAGGTAGCTTGGACTACAACGAGCAAGAAAGCAACTTAAAGAAAGGAAGAAAACGAGTCTACCTGAAAGCCTACACGATCATGGACAAAGCATGAAGAAAGGGGTAGATATGATGGTGAGTGTTTAGGATTCAATGTCAAAGTATTTATGAATCCATTTGAAACTCATCTCTATAGGACCATGCATATCATATCATCATTCATATGCTCCTATATCCATTAGCAATAGACTATGCACTTCATTCATATACAATTGCACATGAAGTCATTGCTAAAGAGTGAGTTAGTTCAAACTTGCATAAGCTTTGAAAGAACTCATCATTTGTGCTAGAAATGCTAAGATCATGCACATCAATCATATAATTCATATTGGTCAACAATTAAGGCATGAGAAGCCTTCATTACCATGAGTTGGTAACGGACATTAGGACCCCAGAATGCGCGTCATGAAAAACTGTGTTTTTGGCTAAGTGTGAAAAATGAATTTTTTGAAATAATGATTATTTCAAAATAATTTTTCTTAGTAATAATTCTTTATACTTAAACTAGCCTAAACTGATTTTATCAGAATTTTTTACTAAGTCTACATTGGTCTACATAAGGATTCAATTTTACCAAAACTGTCAGAAATCCAAATTTGTACTAAAACTGAATTTCTACATTTTGATTTAGTTGGATTTTAATTTTCTAGTATTTTTTATTAAATCCAAATGGGGGGTATTTCCTTATTTACATTGTAAACTAAAAGTAAATGGACATATAAATTAAAGTCCTATGCATAAGCTGTCTGTCAAAACTGTTAATACACACATCGACCGGTTTAAAGCATACGTCGACCGGTATCTAGGCAGTACTGAAATCTCTAGAACTCAATCTATACGTCGACTGGTTTGACACACACGTCGACCGGTATCTAAGCAGCAGCAAAATTCAAGGAGAAGCTCACATACGTCGATCGATTTGAAGCATACGTCGACCGGTATCTAGGCAGTACTGAAATCTTAGGAACTCAACATATACATTGACTGGTTTGTAGCATACGTCGATCGGTTTGAAAAAGGATACGTCGACCGGTTTATGCCATACATTGACCGGTTTGGTCGCAGCTCTACAAATTCAAACGGCTAGAATTTGATTTAATGTTTCCAACTACCTGCAACAGCTATATTGAGCTCGAATTTTCTACAAATACAGTGGGTTGGTCTAGAGATTAATGATATTACTTGAGAGAACATTCAAGAACATCATTCAAGTGCATCCAAGAGAGCTTTTTGCTCTACAACTATACAGAGCTTTTGTTCTGGTTTTACTCACTTATAGAGCCTTTGTTCAGACATCAATCTTCATCTCATATACAAGCTTCCATAGCTAAACCAGAGTGAACTTCAGAGAGCATTTTTGTGAGCCTTTGCTGAACTTTTGTTCTAATATTTCATCAGAGCTTTTGTTCTACATTTTCCTCATCAACTCTTATACATTTCATACTTAAAGTTTGAGCTTCACTTGATTTCATATATACTCTATTGTGAGGTTTGATTTGTATCAGTTCTTGAGAGGATTTCTTGTACTACAAATTCTATCTACAAATCTGTTGTAAGCCTAAGAGGAAGAGTTTCTCTTAGTAAAGAAATTGTAAGGGTTGGTGTGGCCTATGTAAGACTAAGAAAGGTGGTCTCTTAGTAAGGATATTGTAAGGGTTGGTGTGACCCAAAGGAAGACTAAAGAGAGGTTTTCTCTTAGCAAGAAGTTACTTCTAATCAAGGTTTGCTCTCCACCCGTAAGGAGAAGCTATATTGGATTGGGAAGTCTCAAGAGGGATCTTGAGCCAAGGAGTAGGAGTTTCCGAATCTCGCTAAAATCGCGGTGTTATAGTTTGAAATTTCTCTTCCCTTATCTCTCTTATAATTGTGCTATTTAATTGCTTATTTCATATATTTATAATTGCACAATTGTATTAAGTACTTTGCTTGAAATTGCTTTTTTATATTGCAAAAATTATCCATTGTTTGTCATTGACTCTATTCACCCCCCCTCTAGAGTCAATTCTTGGGCAACAATAGTAATAACAATAATAATAAAAGTTAAAAAAACAAACTTTAAATCCACAAGGTTAAAAGAAAATTGGGGAGCAAACTGATATATTATTAATCAATTTATGAATTCTGCACAAAGCAGTACATGCATTTATAATCAAAGAACTCTAAGATATTACAAGGAGACCAAAAAACATAAAGAAACTAACTAAAATTAAATACTTTTTAACAATTAAAAAAAAAAAAAAAATTCTTAGTACTAAAAAATACTAAATACTAAAAATCAGAATAAAAATGCATTAGGAAAAAAGTCATAAGATTGTCCTACATAAAAAAATCAAGAGCATTTGCTTGGGATTTTTGGTCCATTCCTTCCATGTGTTATTGACAGTATTTTAGCATAAAACCAATATATGCCTTAGGATTGAAGCTCTATTTCACATCTGTAATTCTACTCCACATGGTATTTGCTTTTTAGACCCAAGGCAATTCACATAATAGAGTCTACAGCATTTTGTTGTCCTTTCTTCTTGTGCTTGTCCAAATTGCATTATGTTGGTTGCATGCTTCTAAAAAGTAATAACACTCTAACCCTGTTTATTGTATTTGTGATGTTGTGGTTGGAATTTAGTGTTAGGTTACGTTGCAATCCAATGATTTGTTGGATGAATTGGGGGTTCAGGAACTTTGTTCCGAGAAAAAAAATTGACCTGTTTTTCGTTCATGGGTCGTGAATCCTAATTAGTCTCTTGTAACTCAATATATAAGGTTGCTTAGAGTTTGGAGTGAGGTAAGAGAGAGATTCTGAAATTCGTACAACAACAAAGTGAGGAGTTGAAAACTTATAATATCTGATTTTACACATAGTGAAAACTTTAAGGTAGGTTTTTATCGAATCACATATAAATCTTTATATTTTTTGTGTGACGTGCTTATTTTTCTATTGTGATTCTTGGTTCAATTTAAATTTGTTGTGTTTGTCATAACAGTATTATATATATAATGAAATAGTATGCACATTTGCTTTTTATACTGTGATGGATCTTTTGAAACTCATATCACCAACATCTAAACTCATATGTTTCAACAATTTGAATATAAAATTATTTTTTATAATCCATACTAACATCTTCTTTGACGAAAATACAATATGATCTGCTCTTGGTACACAAACATGGAATTTACAATCCCGAATAAGAACATTTTAATAACTAGCTGCAGCCCCCAGCAGCAAACCCAATTCTTGAATTGGAGACATCATAAGCAACCCTATATGTCTGCTGGTGAATGTTACCCATAATGGCGGTGTCATCATCTATGAAAGTGAAGCACGTAATGCCCTTCTCAGGCACATCGTACAGAACGCTTTGAGGCTCAAGAGTGAGGTCAGCCCCTCCTTGAAACACCAACCGAATCTCGGGCACATCTGACTGCATATTCTTCACACTCCCTTGGTAACACGTACGAAATATGTCATAATTCCCCGCAGTCTTGTGCTTTGATAAAACCATGATCTCTGTGACCACATAAACCAAATCTAAATATAATGACATAGGCACGCGCGTGACCTCCGTCCCAGTATCTATAACCATAAGGTTTTTCTCTGTTGGCACTGCCATTGTCCTGCCTGCCACTACAGTCGCGATCAAATTTAAACAGTACAAGCTGTCGTCTTTGGGACTAGTAATGATTGGAGTGAACTTGTACGAGGATTCCATCAATGAATCGGTTCCTATGGATAGTGAGCCTCCACTGCTTCCACTCGCTGATGGGAGGCAGTAGGAGAAGGCATTTCCATATTTGGCTGACAGCTGAGAGAGCATGGAGAGCTCTTTTCGAGCCAGGCCAAAAAGACCAGCAAACTCACTAAAAGACCCTTCTTTGAATTGCTGCCCACACCCGCACACGAAACCAGGCAGTGTTTCTGATTGTATTTGGGTCAGTGAATCCTGAATCAAGTAGCCACTGGAGAAAGAGCTGTCTGCATAGGAAGACGTGTACAAGCACGTGTTAAGAGAAGTGCAAATAGGGTCTTTATCAGTGGCATCCTTGACTGCTTTGCATTCGGGTGTAGTGCACGGTACTGAGTTGAAGGTGCTGGATGAAGTGGGATCAAAAAAGGGACGGACCTGTTCGTTGCACTCCGGGCAAGACTGGCATCGCAGCCAGGACAAGGAGCTACCTGTGTCGATCATTACATTGTAGTAGGTGGGTGGAGTGCCAAGACCAATGTTGATATAGTAATTGCCCGTACCAATACCAATAGGCACACCAAGGTTCAAGGGTCCAAAAAGATGTTCTGAGTTGTGTGAGGTGGA